TGAACCATTTGACCTTGTCCCTGCCCTTGACCTTGCGCCATTCCATTCTGCCCTCCTATCATATTCTGTACGCTCTGGCTCATGTCACCCGGTTTCTGCCCTGCAACCTGCATCAAATTTACGTGTTGCTGTGCCTGTGCTTGTGCTCGACCTGCTGCGTTGGGTGGCCCAGCAGGTGTATCTTTCTTAGGATCTACGCCTGGGTAAAGGGCCTGTAATCGTTTATAAGCCTCTTTTAAAATCTCTCTCCGATCTTCGTGCCCTTCTTCGGGTTTCGATGCTGGATCGTCATCGTTCGTGGGCGCAGATATAGGGATAGTATGCGCGGGTTTATATGTAAGAGTTGGTGCAAACATGATGGCGGGATGCGAGGGAATCTGAGCTGCGGGCTTGTGCGAGCGATCGGCGATTGCGGCAAGGTAAGCCAGATTTGATTGTAGTCGTCGCATACATCTTCAGATTCGTTAGTAAACGCTTCAGCCTCAACACGTATAGGGGACAAACTGCATATATTCGGTCGCCAGAAGCTTATGCTCTGCCTCAAGCGTTGACTTCTCGGCGGGATCCTCAGTTTTGTTGTTCTTCAAATCAGTCTGTAGAGCTATTATCCGCATAATTTCTAACAACATTTCTCGATTGATATCTAGTAGTACGGTGACCCTTTCCTTCTCTCGAAGCTCTGAGCCAGGACTTAATGGCGTACTCATGGCAGCTCCCGCGTTTTCAGAATTTCGCACACCTGGCGGGAAGCTTGGGGTCTGCGGAGTCAAGCTCATTCCTCCTTGTTGATTGTTATTAGGGGTTTGATGGTGTTGTTGATTGTGATTCAGTGGTACAGCGAATTGTGCGTTTGACGCGCTTGGTGGTGTGCTCTGGGGAAAATTTCCGTAGGGAGAGACGCGGGAACTCGCCGACGTCGGCGTCGGTGTAGAAGATGGCGGTGGCTGCATACGCTGTATTTGATGCTGCTGCTGTTGTGGTATCATTGCGGAAGGGTTCATCCCATATTGTGGAGGCGCATTTGATGCGGTCGGCATGAAGTTTGTAGGGTGTGCGACGGAAGAGGATGTAGCGATATTATTGCCGTAAGGAGAGCTTGTATATGGAGTTTGATAGGAAGCAACTACTTAGAAACCAGTCAGTCATCTTGCTCTGTTTGATCACTACTGTGAGAAGTAACAAGTTGCCGCCTGCCTTTCTGCTTAACGCGAATGACTGTGTATATGCGACACCTCGCATGCCCTTCATAGTCTGCTTAACAGGAGCTGTGCGGTCTTTCATCTGACATTGACGCGTGCACAAGATATGCAGCAGCCAATACATTCTTATAGCAGACTGCAAAATAATTATTAAAATGTGCGACTCACCATTTCCACCAGGCATATGCGCCAAACCGCTGTTCTGCATCATTCCCATTCCACCGGCATTACCAGCCATGCCGGGGCCAGATGCGCCGTAGGGTGATTGATGACCTCCGGGCCCGTATTGTTGAGCATTATACATCATGTGCTGAGGCTGTTGTTGACCTGGTTGATGGACATTCTGGGGAGCCTGTGGATGGCCACCATTGGGGTTGAAAGACTGCGTATTGTTCCCCTGTCCAAAAGAGTAATTTGGTGCATACATGGCTCTTGGAAGTCAATAAAGGGGCCTATGATAGGCTGCCTATCATAATCTCAAGTCGCACATACGCCGCACGGCAATGATTTAGCTGGGAATTGCTAGATCAACTTTCGTTCGTTCGGGAATGTGCGTAAGGCAATGCCAAGGGTCTTTGGTTCCCGTTGGGTGGTCTCGTTTCGGGAAGTTTTTCCTGGGGTAATTTGGAGATAGGTGGGCTGTAGGATGTGGGATGGGTAGATGACGGTCTCTTAAGCTACTTTTTTGCTGTCCTCTTTCTTTTCCAGTATTACGATGTGGGTTGTTTTCTGGGGTGTGAGAAATTAATGCGCGTTTGCCTTCGGATGCATCGTAGCAAGAACCGAGCTCAAATTTGGCAAGGATTTTTAACCGAAGTCATATTGAGTGGTAGAAAAGCAATCTAGACCAGGAATGTGAACATATCTGGAAACGATCCATGCAACGACATGGTATGGACACTAGTTGTATATTTAAAAGGCAATATGGCAACATGAAATGAATTAGATGGCCTCAAATGCTTCAGCATGAGTTCTCAGATCTTGGTTTTCCTGGTACCGTTGTCGGCCCATTCTTCGACTGTTAATTGAAGGGTTTGCTAGAATCAAAATGATGGGATTGCTTCAATCACTGCACATCTTTAACCCGCATCTGCTAAGTGGTAAGATCGGATTGCACATGCATGACAACATGCTCCTAAATATGCACAACCATTGGCTTGCCGTTGTACGATGATTGATTCGTCTACTCTTACAATGCTTCTTGAGGGTTCAGTGAGTCTTGTGGGCTTTGGTATACGCATTTCCACGCAAACGATCCTCTTGTACCTGGCGGCGCTTTCGTCGGAAGGGAAATATGCATGTTCGTCTCAGTAAGGCTTAGGTACGGGTGATGGTAACACAAGTAAGCATACAACTTCAGTTCCAGATAATCGTCACTTTTTCTATTTTATCATTATGTTTACCTATCAACCAATCGCTGACAACAAGCTACCAATTACCAATATGTGGCATACTTCGAATTTCCTCTTACAACATTTATAAATTCTTGAGCAATAACTTTATCTGTTCCTTGAGAAGGGTGAAGTTCGTCGTACCACATATAGCCATCTAAGCTTCCTGGTTGCTTGGGACATGGTGATCCGGAGACAGCGCAGAGAATGTATGATACATCAACAACGGCTGGTGCTGGCAAATACCGCGTTGGATTGTTGTAAATGTCGGTAAGTAAAGAATTGGTATCGAAGATGGCGATCGACGCTCCTGGGTAACGCTTTTTAATTACTATTTCAAATGGTACTCTGTAGTCGAATATGCTATTGGCCAATTGAGTATATTCTTTCATCTTCCCGCTGATTTCTGAAATGTTGCTTGGCTACAAATGTGTAAGTTTAAACGCCATATGAGAGGGGTTGAGATTCTCACTTTGTTGGGCCAATAATGGCTAGCATTCAGTCCTCCTGCACCTGGCATCCCATACAATGGCGTTAATTGTAACGGTGCATTATTCATCAGAACAAAATATCTGGCTCCGGTCTGATAAATTCCGTCGAATCTATCGAAAATGCAATCAACGTAGTCTGGAATGGTTGTCCCGTTCAAAGAAGAGTCTGTCAAAAAGGCACCCTCTCCCAAATCGTTGGTACCGATCCACATTGAGTATACCGTGTTGTCAGGCTTACGGTTGGTGTAAAGAGTGTTGGTATTTGTGGATGAATTGATATACTTGACATCCGCAACGAACGCATCAACTTCGTAGACAACATCAGGGAAAGGTCCAAAGATACTGGTTAAATATCGATTGATGATTCCGTTAGAGCAGACTGCTCCGGCGACAGCATAATCATAAAGCTTAGCTCCGCTATAATTCGACACCCATCGATCCCAGGTGACGCCTCCACCAGCAGTCGAATTACTGGATGGAAGTAAAGTTCCTGGTGGCGGTGCAGAACCGTTGTGAGTTTGGAAATAACTCAGTCTTGACTCGTCTGTATAGCTGTTTTTGAATTAATTTTAGCCATTCTCTCTCACACGATTTTCCGGGAATTGTAAAAATCCGTGAGGCTGATTACAATCAACTTACCTGTCTCCAAAAGCTACTAAGTTCTCAAAGCGCGGAATCCAGCCATTTTTATGTGCAGATGATGTCAAATCTGCCTCCGATGCATCAGGCATAGCCATTGACAACCCATATCCCGTAAACAGAGGGACCGTATACTTAGAGAACTTCATGTTGTCTGTTATCCCAAATTCCAACAAAACAAGTAATGTAAACCACATAGAAAGAAGCCAAGACATGACGAGAATTTCCCAGCCTTTATATCTACCCATCCTCCCATCTCCACCTTCGATTCATCCAGGAACGTCCGGATACCATACATATTAAGCTTTCGGAGTATCATCGAACCTTCGTGTTATTATTTTTTCCGAACCTTGGAAAGCTAAAGACTTGCAAGTAGCAAGCTGCAGACGGTGACCCCGCACAAAGTACCCCGCGAGATGTCAAGGTACATGCCGGTTGAATAGACGAAAATGCTACTCTACCGAAGTAGCGTGTCGGAGAGGGAGAGTTTCCATATTTTCAGACGAAAGGTTGGAATTATCCGAAGTTCCGATGATCGATCTGTCCATAAACTCGCCAGCCACCTATATATGCTAGATAATGAGGTAATGATTTATAGTCGGCCATGATTTCAAAATGCCAGCCAATATCACCGTTTTCTACAACAGCCTCATCTCAAATCAAGATGACGAGATCCTTATCCAATTAGCTAACGAAAACAGTATCTGTATCAGGTGCATATAGGCTAAATTCATCACATGGCTTTTTAGTGGGAACTTTGGACAACAGGCGAATGTGGATGAAGAGACGATTGCATGTTTATTTTAAGTATTATGCAGCATCAATTATGAAAAAAAGCTTTCAATACTCTTGATTTGTCTCACTTTGGCCATCCATGATGAAACAATCGCGCAGTGTATATTGAGGGAACAGATCAATCACACAAAGCAGTCAGTTATCGGAGTATACAAGACGAGTTCCTGATCTTCAGATCATGAGAATAGAGAACAAGGAGGAAGGTATAAGAAGATATGTTGGATTCGGGATACGATTTATCTTGAACATATGTGTGTAGCATGAACTGAACATCTGAAGATCTCATGTATCTGGCTACACTCTCGTCTTCCTATGGGATAGCCCTTATCCTTCTTTCAATAATGTGATTGTGTACGAGCAGGCGCCAGCGTCGCTTTAGAACCTTTCCAAGGTTGTACCTGAGGATAGAAATAGGAGTACGAATTCAAAGAAGAAATTCTTTATGGATTTCCCTCTTCATATCATACACTTATTCCCATACTCTCGTATATCATCATATAACCCACCATATCACCATATGATTTGGCCCAGTATTGGAGGCACCCATTGCACCCATTGCTCTAGAGTCCTTGTGCGTAGGAGTGGGAGTGGGAGTGAGAGTTCAAATATAAGTAAGAAACCCCTTATGACCTCTGCCCCCCAAAGCCTTATGATTCTAGAATTATTCCAACGTATATCGATAAATCAACTGATGTGATCACTCACCTTGATTGAAATAATTTCTCCAATTGATAATTGATATCGACATCTAAGCTAGAATCAATACCTCAAATAATATGATTGTCCCAACTGATATCACTATCCCAATAGATTGATATGATTGTCCCAATTGATATGATTACTTCCAGTTTATATCAATATTCCAATTCATATCCTACAATCAAACTCTCTCATACATTACTACATAACTATACTTTTCAGTAACTTCTAGGCAGTCCAAGAACCTTCTCTCCAACATAATTCATGATCATTTCCCTCGAAACTGGTGCAATTCTTGGAACAAAACACTCTCTCAAGTATCTCTCAACGTGATATTCCTGGGCATAGCCCATGCCGCCCAAACTTAACACGCTCCTTTCACAGGCAGTAAAGGCTGCTTCAGCTGCTAGATACTTTGCACTGTTGCACGCAACACCAACAGATGCTTGGGTTATTGTCTCATCCGTCGTCGAGCTATCATACAATTTCGCAGCATGATAAGTTGCCAACTTTGCGGCTTCGAGGTGCATGTATGCATCGGCCAATGGATGCTGAATACCTTGATTCATACCTATAGGCCGGCCGAAAACGATTCTTTCTTTTGCATACTGGGAAGCCCGGTGCAGGGCAGCATACCCGAGACCTAGTGCTTCGCCTGCCAATAGACATCGCTCAGCGTTCATGCCATGGAGTACGATTTTGAAACCTTGCCCTTCTTTGCCGATTAATGAATCACTATCAACAGTGTAGTTGTCGAAGAAAACTTCGTTTGCATCAATAGCACGCCCACCCATCTTTTTAATTTCCTTGAGTTCGAGACCAGGCTGTTTAGGATCGAAATCGATGAAGAAAAGGGATAAACCTTCGGAAGGCTTTGTCACTTCTTCCAATGGAGTAGTTCTAGCCAACAACACCATCTTTGTTGCGACCTGTGCTGAGGAAATCCATATTTTTTGACCCGATATTTTGTAAGTGTCGCCTTCACGCGTAGCCCGGGTTCTGAGCTTGAGAGTGTCCAAACCAGTGTTGGGTTCGGTGACTCCAAAACACGCTCGCCAGGTACCATCGATCAACTTGGGCAACATTCTTTGACGTTGCGAGGCCGTCGCGAATTTAGCGACAGGCTGGGTAGCATAAACGTCTGATATATATGGATTAGCATCGCAGTGTTTTGAATCACTGAAACCACAACGTTGTTTGAAATCACTGAACCTAAGAAAGCTGAGGTTCACCACGTCTGATCACCAAAGCAGTAGGAAAGTTTCGTTGGAATAGAATTCCAGCATATTTGGGTCAGACGGACTTGCATGTATACTTTGGGCACCAGCCATGCCTCCACCGCTCTCAGATATGGTCTGCAAAAGCATCGTCGCTTCTGAGATTCCAAGACCCGATCCTCCAAGTTCTTCAGGAAGGGCAATGCCGATCCATCCACCCTTTGCTAGATCTCGATGTAAATCATGAGGATATTCCCCGGTTTCATCACGCTTTGCCCAGTATTCCTGGTATATTCAGTGAGAAGTCACGGCAGTTTGAACCGGAATAATCTTACATCAGGATATTTTGAGCAAATTTTGGCAATGGCTTCTCGAACCTCCAATTGTGTGTCTGAAAACCCACTTGTTTCCATCAGTGTATTGGCTCTTAGAGAAGTCGAAGCTGCGAATGCTCTCCTGGCAACCGCATTTTGATTCAGTCTTAGGCCTAATAACCTAGAAATGGTGGAAACTCTGGTGCAAATCATCATGCTGGTAAAGAAAATTGGAAATGTCTTTCTTCATCAACATATAAGTTAGGGTTTCAATCCATTTGACTCTTTTCATGCATAGAAGAAAAGTGGTAGTCAGTCCTGTTGTTGTTTCCCGCGGCTATTCGAAACAAGCCGGAATTGACCGCTTGCGAAACCCTTCAATGATCCAATTGTTCCACTTCGATTGGAAGAAATGAAAATTTAGTTTGGATTGTAATTGAAGATTCAGACTCTATTGAGTAGGTACTATAAACTCTCATGATTTTATTTGTGGCTGGACTGCGGGCGAGCCGGCGTTTGCGTTGTTTTAGAGCCTTTGTGCTTGGGAGTGTAGATGGATGAAAGACAGACCTGATGATTGTTTCAATCCGTATCATACAATCAGTCTCATATTATAATATGAGACTACCACATAATTATATGATTTACCTAGTTTAGTAAAGAGACTCTATACTGTCCGCGAACCTTTCTATGAAAAATCCCGATACAATGATTTTATCACAGACTCAAAAAGATACGATTTATTTGGATGAGGTAGTGTAGTGTCGTGAAACAGTCATGTGATACAGAATTTAGGGATGAGCCGTTGACGCGTGGGGGTAACCAAAACAATCATACAGCATCACTAAGTTTACGAATTTTAAGACTCCAACTCATACTCTCATGACCAACACAACGCAAATCGCCCAACCTTCAATTAAATGCCAATAGCTCAAAAAGAAATGATCTTGTCATCTTCCGAGTACTAAATCACGTCAAATTATTCGGTACTTCATAACACGACGCGCTGTTTTGAACAGCAGAAAAAATGGCGGCAATGCGACCAAACAAACGATTGCAAGTAGGGTCGAAAGGGTGGATAGCAGAGGAGCGATCGAACGCGCTGCAGCTTGCAGCAGCAGAGGCAGAGGAGTTTACATTTGCTGCCAGGAATGAGATTGACTGGTTGAATGAACATATGGCAGAAATATTCAATAAGAATCAAGTGTATGTAAACAAACCTGCGACACTGGGCACGAGCTGATCTTATGTCCTTTAGGAACGTTGCCGAAATATTTAAAACGCCGGGGAAGTTACGTGGGAAGACACCTAGAACAGCTAGGAAACTGAATCAATTGGAAGTGCGCGCAGTATGTCTATCGAATGTATGTAGCGATTTAAACTAATACCAAGCAGCCATTGTCCGATGTCTTTTCGGCAACACCTCAAGGAGCCCCAAGTCCATTCAAACAAGCTCATCATGAGCGGTCACCCCCGAAATTTCGAGTAGCAGAGGACGCCCCGGCAGAAACTCAAGAGGAACCTGCTCAAGCGCAACCTACACCCTCGCAACCTACACCTTCACATCGTCTATCTAGCTTTGGCACTGCGCAGAGCAGTGTTCAGCGCAAATCTTTCATCAACGCACTTGATTCTGGTTACTACGGAAGTCAGCTTGAGGAGGCGACGCAACCTAATACTCAACCTACCGAACCAGAACCATTCGCAACAAGCCCACCCCGACAATTCATACCCCAAGAAGATACAATCGAGAATGAAGACAATGAAGAGATTGCAAGCAATGCAGGTAACACGGAGAATGAAGAAGACAGGCCCGAGGATAAGATAGCCCCCGTCGAAGAGAGTCCAGTCGCAAATTTAGAGTCTGAAGAGCAACGAACTGTCGAGGTTTCGTTTCAATCTGCACGAGAAGGTTCGCCAATAGCGCCCACCATTGAGGTAGAAGCACAGACAGAAACAGGGACAGAAGCTCAGCAAGTTGAGAATGAAGAACAAGACAGGGAGCCAACGAACGGAGATCAGGTCATGGGAGATGTCGAATATCCAAATCTCAAGTTACAGCCTCATGACCAGAGCTCAGCCCATTCATCACCGGAAAAGCGACCACAACAGAAATCTCCATCTAAATCTCCCGCAAGAGCCGAATCTCCTTTCAAAGAGCCCTCGGTAGAGCCACAGTCTTCACCATTCGCCCCTCAAGATGACCCCCAAGATGAGGACGAGCAGATGGATGATATTCCCGATGCTCAATCTGCTTCCGAGGGATCAAGTCCCATACGCCCTATTTTCCGCAAAAGCAGTTTGAATTTTGCTTCTCTACCTGCGCGAGATTTATCCAAGAAAAGTCTCGGGCATCGTACTTCGCGAACGAGCCATCTAGACCAGACACGTACTAGTCATTATGGTCGGCCTACGGGCGGAAAGAGTCTGGGCAACGTCAAAGAAGATCTCGCAAACAAAAATGAAGACGAGATGGACGTTGATGAAATGCTTGAGCCGACTGGACGGGAGGAATCCGAAGCCGAAACATTACTAGCACGTATCCACAATAAAACTTCGACACAACGTCTTCAGGACCAGATCAGTATGCTCGGTCAGTCTCAGCCTACAACCAGGCCTGCATCGAAATCTCTTGTTGGTGGCATAATACCCTCACGCCAGTCGATACAAGCGATTCAACCTCCAACGCCACAACATGGACCAGAGGAAGCATCACCATCAAAAGACAAGCCCTTCGCGACTCCAGGTGCCTTCCCCGAAGATGAGGATAGCTGGATTGGACCTCCAACGACAGCGTTACATGGAAAGTCGATTTTCAGCCCTCGCCCAACCATTGCCAAGAATCACACTGCAGATGTGATGGAGAGCGTGCGTGGCAAAGAAACTGTCAGTGGATCAGAATTCATCGTTCCCGAAAACGGAGACGAAGGAAGGCAAACATCTCCAATCCGTGAAACCAATGTACGAGGTCTAACTAAATCTATCTCGACTTCATTTATCTCCTCGCCTAAGAGAGCTGTTGGGCCACAAAGTCCTAACAAATTGATGTCGGTCTCCAACCCAAATCTTCCCGTTAATGCAATTGATGAAGATTCTACAACTCCTCCAAAGTCTCCGCCCAGGACACTTAGGGGAAGCCCGTTGAAGGTTGCGAAAGACAAATTCTCTTCGATTTTGAAATCAGGAAAGACTTTATTTGCAAGTAGCGCAGCTGCAAGTGCCGAAGCAAAAATTGAAACTCTACCATCATCTACAAGAATTTACCAGAATAGTGTGCCTTCCTTTGAAGATGTACTTCAGAATGAGAATAGCGACGCTGAAGTCTCGTATCCGAAAATGGATATGCATTTCAATGATTCAATCCCTAAACGTATTCAAAGTCCTGTTAAAGCTACCACTCGAAAAACTAGAGCTTCTACCGAAAAGGAAGAGAAACGCAAAGAAGAGGCCGCTAGAGAGGCTAGAGAGGCCAAAGAAGCCAAAGAAGCGCAAAAGATGAATGATCAATTAGAGAAGGCACGCATGAAGGTCAAAGAGGACGCACGTGTTTATCATCAAGAGCAAGAGCGAGCCGCAGCCATGCAGAGGGAAGTAATCTCCCGGAAAGAACAAGAGAAATTGGCCAAGGCAAGTCAAGTTGAAGTGCCAAAAGCAACTCGAGGTAGTCCACGAAGGACGAAAGCTCAATTGGAAGCAGAGGCCATAGCAACCACAGCTTCATCCGCTAATACGTCTTACGGTAAGGATACCGATATGACCGATGCACCAGCATCAATGCCACCGCCTTCTATTCCAAGACCAAAGTCTCAGATTGGGCGACCGCAGGCTAAACGGCCATTGAGACCAGTGAAAGACACTGCTCCTAAAGCCAAGGCACCAGCGACTGTAATACGTGTCGACACTGGCTCCTCGCGCGGTCAGCAATATCATCCATCTAATGCAACACTTGCAGCAACCTTGGAACAGTCCTTACAATCTTCACAAGGCGGACACCTACGAAACAAAGCTAGTTCTAGTTCGTTACAGAGCAAATCTTCGAATAACAGCTTCAAGGCTCAAGCCAATAAAGCCCTAGAAGCAGCTGCACGAAAGAAGGAGGCGGATGAACTTGCTGCTCAACAAAGAAGGGATGCGAAGTTGGAAATGGAACGCCAGCGAGCCGCTACAAAGGAAGAGCAAAGGCGACAGAATGAGCTAACTGTCAAACGTGACCAAGAGCGTCAACGGGAGCAGCAGAAGGAAATCAGTCTTAGCGAGGCTAATAAAAGGGCCATCGAAAGGGCGAAGCAGAAGAGAGCTCCTCCACCAGCTATTCGACCTCAACAAAATACCGATCAATGGCTTGAGAAGTCACTGCCACCAGTTCCACTTCAAAGAAACGACCTAGGTGGGCAAGCAAAAGCTACCCGTATGAACACCGCCAAAGCACCGCCAAAGAGACCTTTGCTAGAGAACAATGAAGAGATTGCTCGTCCACCAGTTCAGCGAAATGCCCCTTCAGTTCATGGTGACCCCCGCACCAAACGCCAAAGGACCAACGAGTATCTTGATGAAGAAGATGAATTGACGGAGTCTCATCCCAAAATGACTGCTCCCCCAATTCGTCAATCCAGCATTCGTCCAAAGGTAAGCCTATATTCATAATCAGTTCAATTTGTCATACTAACTAAAGATAGGAGATGCCCACAAAGTCGTTGTTTGCAAGCGGATATGCTCATGCCCCACCGCCTGCTAATCTACAAAGGTCTACTATTGTTTCACAACACCAGAATAAAATTGGCAATCCCATGGATATGACTCAGGTTTCTAAGGGAGCCATTCCATTTGCATCAAGCTCAAATGGACAGCCATACAAAACACCCGCACGTAATGTAAGTCATGCCTCGGCAAAGGCGGCAAAATCTGCAGCAAAATCATCACCACGATACGAGAATGGAGAGAACATCGTTCTTCCCGAAATACCGAGTGATAGCGAAGACGAAGATGATGAAGATGATGAGAAAGAGAAGAAAGCGTTCCAAGGGCTTGGCTGGACGGATTCTCCTGAGATTCGCAAACAATTGGCACTCCAGGAAACTATTGATCCCTCCAAGATTTTCGGACGACCCCAAGCCTTGAACATGGAAGAAGTGTTCGATAAAAGCAAGGATCGATTCCACAAGTTTAGAGCTAGGACATCCAGTGCCAATTGGAGTGGATCTGATCGCCTTACGGAAGAGGAGGTGCGCAAGGATTTGGAAGGGAGAGATCGTGTGCGAAGGCAAGGTGGATGGAGTTACGATCCCTCATTTTAAGCTGCGCATCTCAGTAAGAAAACTCAGGGTCTCGGCTATTGCTCAAGATATTCATGGCAGAAGGGCATGGATCTTTTCACGTTTGGTAAATTATGCAGGAAATGTTATGGTTTCGAATGATGTGAATTCAGGATGACATAATTCTGTTGCTTGATTATGTTAGAGTCATGACAAGGCTTATCATGGATTGGCGATGGAGTATGATTTTGATTTAACAGGAGTTTGGGGGGAACAATAATAAATGAAGCGAAAATTAATCGTTCTCGCAAAGGATTGGAGTAACTTGTACCAAAGTACACATAACATAAACAAAGGAATATGAACAAGTAAAATATACAATCATATGTGGATATTATTACTCTGGTGATTTACATGTGTGATGATGTG